GCGTGACGTGGCACCGTAACTGAATCTTTTCTGCGAATATTGACATTATGTACATCAGTACGGTAGGTTATTTTATTACTTAAATAAACAGGAATTTTGTCTTTTAAGATTTTGAAATAAACGACTCCTCTATGTAGAGTCATCCTATTATGCATATTCAGCCAACCACACTCCGCCAATTTATGTGAAACTCTCTGATATTTTTGTATGCCATAAATCAGCCTGAGGCAGCTATTCTGGACATACTGCACCCTTCTTTGATTTTCTTTAGTTAAGCAGGGACCATAGACCGAATCACAGTGGTTGAAGTGAGATAAAATCAATGCATCAGTTAATAATCGTTTACTATCTGCATTTAACACGTGTCGATACGGATAGAGAGATTTCAAAATACAATAAGATTTTTGTAATAGCTTATTTATGTGTGTATTAAATTTTAAATCATTGTCTATAAACAGACCCAAATTTTTAACGGAATCCACGTGCTGTAATTTCTGATAACCTACACTAATTTTAAGAATATCACTAACAGATTTGATATGATTTTTATTCCCAAAAATAATTACATTGGATTTAGTGGGGTTAATTTTTAGACCATGTGCCTCAGAAGCGTCAACAAGGGATTGTACATCCGAATTAATTTTGATAGCAGCATTGTTAGAGTCAGTGTGATGAAATGAAATTGACAACTGAGTATCATCAGCATAAGTATGATATTTGCAAAACTTAAAATTTTTACAAAACGTACTCACATAAATTATGAACAGCAGAGGTCCACATATACTTCCCTGAGGAACTCCTTTAGAGATTAGTTCTCTTTGTGAGACATCTTTGATTTTAGTTCGTTGTTCTCTGTTTAAAAGGTAATGTTTAAAAAACTCTATTGCTGTGTGACTCAGACCAATGTAGTGTAAAATACNGAAAAAAGAAGAGAAGAAGAAGGAAAGAAGAGGAAAAAAGGAAAAAAAGAAGAAAAAAAGAGGAAAAAAAGAAGAAAAAAAGGAAAAGGGGAAAGGATTGTTTATTGAAGCTCCTCCCATGCTCCTCCTCAGGCTCCTCCCAAAAGTGGAGGTGGAAGAGTAGGGATAGGAGTGGGGATTCGGAGTTGTAATCTAAAATTCCCCCCCCCCCGATTTCCGGGAAAGTTGACCCAGAAAAAAAGTGCCCCCACTCTAACTCCGCCCATTCCCCACTCCTCCCCCTTGTCACGCCCCACCCCACGCCCCCCTTCATTACTTTACTATAAGAAGGCACCTCCCAGCCTTTGAAAGTCACTTCAGTGTTTGTGTTTTTCAGTTTTTTTGGTAAGTACAACCTTCTTTACTTTCATGTTTATATAACGTTCATTTTCTCTCCATCACTACAGGCTCTTTCTACAACTTTCTCTTTTTTTGGTTACTTTACGTTAGCACTGTATAAATAGTGGTAATAGAAGATGAAAGTATATTTTCAAATAAAAAGAAACTGTGTGAGCAGAATAAGCAGTAGGTATAAGAGAAATATGTCTCTTAACAAGACCCAAAGTAAACAGTGCAAAGAAACGAAGCGCACTCAACGGCAAGGGAAAAAACCAGTTCTGTATTATTTGTAGGATATTATTCGAGATCTTTTGACGATGTAATAATTTTAATTTCGTTATTATTATTTACAAAAATCTTACCGTCGGACGTCCAAACATTCTTAAATGAAAACTTTAACGCGGCTTTTTTATATAGATCGCGCCTAAATACTGATAAGTCCTCTCTGATGGTGATAACTGTTGATTTGAGGTTTCTTTTCATATCAAATACCTTCTTACGATCCCGATAGCTGACGAACTTAACTATTATCTATCAAGTGGGCTCTTTCAAAGGCTCTTTATTTTTTTTACGGTTACTTGTCCGGCGGGTAGATACTTTACCAACACGTTGAGCTCTGTCGATGGCATCAGGGGAAATTTCCAAATTCNTCACACCAGTTTTTATTTAAATTGTCTTGTTTGAATAGAATAATAAAATTGGCGTTATCTCGTATTAGATACTTAGGAATTTGTGCATAAGATTTACATATGTAGAAACTATCAACGCTAGTTCTAGTCCAAAATCCCATAAGATTTAATATAGGGGTCCGAAATCACATTTTATCTCCATCACTAATACCTCCTTTGAGGTTTTGGCTACGTCCACATTTTTAATTCAGCCAATCAGAGCGCAGCATTCTTTAAGAACCCTCCTTTTGGCGTGAAATTTTGGATGAGACTATCTAGGTCGATGGACCTTATCATGATGACGTCATCATCGACACATCGAGACATTGATATGTTAGGACATAAAGCGTTTGGCAAATCGAAAAATAAACCGAAAAATTTATCACCTTTTTGGCTGATACCCCAATTTTCTTACTCCATCGCAAAACATTAAAGATGTTGGTAGGCTGGCTCCAAAATAATATTGGCTTATCAATTCTTGGGAATTTATATTGTTTAATAAAGAGAGTTAGGTTGATATTCACGCGATACGGAAGCGATAAGGAAAAATTAAAGATATTATTTACAGATTATATATTTACTTAAAAACCATAAATTACATAAATTAAATAAGGAGCAGTTATTATTAGTATTACAGTTCAAAAATTTTAATTAACATAGTAGAGGAGCGTTATAGTTAACAATTAAACAGATTATTATTTTTACAAATTATTTACCCTACGCTTTATCAGAACCGTATGTTTCATATAACGATGAAATGAAATTGACAATTGAGTATCATCAGCATAAATTATGAACAGCAGAGATCCACATATACTTCCCTGAACAACTCCTTTAGAGATTAGTTCTCTTTGTGAGAAGACATTTTTGATTTTAGTCCGTTGTTCTCTGTTTAAAAGGTAATGTTTAAAAAACTCTATTGCTGTGTGACTCAGACCAATGTAGTGTAAAATACTTAGTAACAGATGGTGATTTATCATATCAAATGCTTTTGAATAATCCAACAATACAATCGCATGCATGTCACCCCCGTCGACGCCACGCAACACATCATCCACAATATCTATTAGAACAGTATTACAGCTATGATTCGGTCTAAATCCCGATTGGTTGTCGGGTATGATGTTATAACGAAAAAGATGTTCCCTTAATTGACAACAAACTATTTTTTCAAGTACTTTGGAGAGGGCTGGCAAAATACTTACAGGTCTAAAATCTGTATAACTTTCAGGAGCACTGGTTTTCGGCAAACGAATCACAATGGAATCCTTCCAGCAATCAGGGAAAACCGATTCCAGGAGACAAGTGTTAATAATATGCGTTATAATGTCTAATAAATATGGACATGACATCTTAATTGTGTTTATACCAAGAAAATCACTTCCCACGGCACCAGAATGAATACCTGATATAACGGCAGCCACCTCACTGCGTGCAACAGTACGAAAGACAAATAATTCTTTAAATGTACATAAAGTGTTGCTATTATAAAATTGTAATAAATTATGATCAATGTCATTGTTTAAAGATATATTAAGAAAGTAATCATTAAATTTATCTGCATCACATAAATTCTCAGGTACATCACAATTTTTAGATTTACATCCAATGCCTAATTTAGTATATGTTTTCCATATTTTACCCGTATTTCTGTTTCGAAAAATATTATTCATATATATTTTCTGTTCCTTACGTATTGCAAATGTTAGATAATTTCTTAATGACTTGTAATATTCCCAGTGCTCAGGCTTTTTTGTCCATTTGAAACGACTCAAAGCCTTATCTCTCGTTTCCATCATAGACCTGATGACTGGAGTCAACCAAGGCGCACTTGGTCGGGAAACTTTGATAATTTTCTCAGGCACATGTTTATCAAATACATACAGTAAATGCCTATTAAAAAATTCTAATTTGTCATTAATATTTATAAATTGAATTAGAGCATGCCAATCAATCGAACGCAAGTCACTGTCAAAATTCTCCTGGTTAAAATTCGAATAATCCCTGATCGTTTTAAATATAGGATAGGTGTGATTTGTAGTTACTAATGACAATGTACATTGAACAAGAAAATGGTCCGAAATGTTATTCAAATCTACAGTACCAGAGTCTCCACTAAGTGACACAGATTCAGGAATAATAATTAAATCAATTAAAGAAAAAGTAGTAGAAGTGACTCTAGTAGAAAAGTTTATAACCTGTTTGTAATTATATGCATTAAGGAAATTAGTAAGTGTTTCAGTAGCAGGGTTAGAGCAAGAACACATATCAATATTCAAATCGCCCAAAAGGAAAATTTTGTCACACGTCGCCAAAAATTCAGAAAACATCGCATCTAAAGCATCAAAAAATGTGTTGTAATTAAAGTTTGGTGGACGGTAGGTAACGCCTACTATTATTTTTTCCGAATTTATTTTTAATTCCACCCAAGTCTGTTCAATATTATTATTAGTAGCTACGATATTTGCTTTAATTCTATTACTCACATAAATTGCGGTCCCTCCCCCTCGTCCATCTCTATCTGTCCTAAAAAAATTATAACCTTCTATATAAACAGTATTATTATTTATGTTTGGATTTAACCATGTTTCTGTAATGCCAACAATATCATGATTAGAATTTAATATGTATTCTTTAAAATCCAAAAATCCGGCCAAAAGCGATCTTATATTCATGTGAGCCACAGACAAACCTTCGTGAAACATAAAAATTAGAATAATAAAAGCAACAGAAAAAAAAATTGCAAAAACACAAAGAAAATTAAATTTAAATAAAGATTAAATTTAAAGTTACACCAACGGATTCTTACGGCCTTAACCAATTAATAAGAAAAAGAAAACAAAAACAAATCCTATATAACAAAAAAAAAGAACAATTCAAATAATAAATCTACACATTTATTTATATTTTTTGCCTTCATACTTTTCAGCGAAATATCACTCATCTTGTGGTAAGAACTTTTTGATTTCATTATCCTTTCTATAAAAAATATTTCCATTCCTAGTCCATACGTTTTTAAACACATATTTAGAGCTTATGTTAGCTGTTTCACATGATTGGCCCTTATCTGCGTTAAATCTTCCTTTATATTAATTTTCGTTCCCTTTAGTTTGGATCTCCATCGAACCACCTCGTCTTTGTACTTGCGGGACAAAAACTTGACGATAATCGCTCGAGGCCGGGCAGTTTTTTTCCCTACACGATGATAACATTCAATCGCATTTTCAGGCATTAAATATTCTATTTTTTTTGTTAGAATATCTGTTACTATTTCTTCGACATTCTCTTTTTCTTTCTCAGAAATCCCGAAAATCCGCACATTATTTCGGCGACTATACTGTTCATGGGCATCTAATTTAATCACGTAATCCTTCTTCATACCTTCATTTTCAGCTCTTAATACAGCTAATTGTTCTTTATAATTTTTTATTTGCTCTTCGTAATGAGCGAACGTACCTTTTAATTGATCTTCAACCAAAGAAACCACGTTTTTGGAAATAATTTCAATAAAACTAGCTTTCTTAAAAGCTTGTACTATAACTTCCTCAAATTCCGCCACTTGAGCCCTTGAGAGAACCATCTTCACAACTATACTGTTCTTTATTATAATAAACCAGAGTAATTCGCGAAACTTAAATTATTTACGGAGCCGCAAAAATCACGTGTAGCCTACGCGCGCGCCATTTTCGTTTTTCTCGATCATTTTCCAATCTCGATTTGAATTCATCATCATCACCATCTTCTACGTTCACATATTTATTTTGGATGAGTAGTAAGTTAACATGTCTGTCTCTCTTCCCCCTAGTTAGATAGGAAGGAACTACATTATACCGTCCCTTTTTTAGTGGTTCCAGAATGTACGCGTTGACCGACACATCGTTTTATTGTTCAAATCGGGGAATTTGTTTCATGACTACGGGCATTGTTATGTTTTTCATATTTAAAACTTCCGAGTAATGTGGATTCATACAAATTCGTTCGGTGTTATAATTGACTGGATGAAGTGCTGAAGTCACTGCCCACTCAAAGCATGCTTCATCGATCTTCACATTTACGCAAGCGCGCTTCAGCCAAGGGCCCTCGGTAATTTAATGTATGACGACCCAAGTTGTGGAGTGAATTTTTTAATGTTCACCTGCAGGTTTACGATAGCATTTAATGTCCATCCACTATCTTTTTCTTAAAATTCTTCAAGATCTTTTAGAATGTTATTCTTAAACCATTCTTCTAAATCGGTGTTGGTATAAATTGGGACATTTTTAATATTTATATATTTAAATTCAAATACTTCCATACCCGTTTTCTTACTTCCGAATTCGCTACAAAACACAGCATTAACTTTTAATGTTGATTTTTTAACATCATTAGTCATTCTCCTGATTATCATTTTTTTAGCATCTTCCATAAATTGTCGTGGGTCCTTGTGTGTCAGGTTAATGATGACTCCCGTTTTCATTCTGTTGGAGAACGCCGTCTGAAGGTCCTGCCATTTTACCCGCGAGCTTCTAAAGAATGCTTCCGAATGTATGTATGTGCCCAGCACAAGTTGTTATGTGGTGCTTCTCATCACTTGTGTTGGCTACTTTTAGCGCAGCGTTCATCACCTTAATATAACGACTACAATCCTTTATTGCCCGGCTCTATATCTCTCCCTACAGCACTAACAACTATCTGACGCATTTCCCCTACAGGTCTTGAAAAAGACATGGTTTTGCCTGATGTTGAAGCCATTCTAGAACAACGAAGATTGCGGTTATAACTTCTCGTATGAGATGCAGGATTACCTATATGTTATTAAGACCGCAAACTATGGAACTTGATGTTCAACTGAACGATTTGTAAATGGGCGGAAATTGTTGATAGACGGCCGCGCCCCCCTCCACTTCCTTAATAAATTATTATTTAATTTCCACTCATTGCTTCATCGGTTTTAACACGTTTGGTACAATTAATTGGATATGGAATGTCCAGTTCAAGGTTCGAAATTGATTTTTTCGGTTAATAACAAGTGTAACCTGCTAGCTACTAAACAATTGTCAAACTAAATAAATTATAAAAAACATGTAATTATATATTCCTGAAAAATTATTAGGGGGAGTGGGGGAATGTGCAGTAGAAGTATCTAGAAGGATGATGTAATTCACGCAACGCTTCAAAAGGAGATCTTTCACTTTCACACCCTTACCTACAATTAGTCCTAATTCGAGGTCACCGTACTTTTACTTACGTAAAAATCATTTAAATTTTTAAATTAACCTTCCCCTCTACAAAAAATTAATAAACCAAAATGTTCTAATGAACTTTGTAACAACGTTAATAAAGTTTTTCGCATCAGCATAATAACCAGTTCACCCAAGTTGAACAGGGGTTGAACTAGGGTTGAACCGGTGTTCAACCGGTTGAACAGGGGTTGAACCAGGGTTGAACCGAGGTTGAAACAGGTTATTCAACCGGTCATTTTCCACGGATTAAACCACGGTCCGTGGTTGACCCCTATCTATTAAAGGGAATGATGACGTCACATGACATGATTGTCTAGATGACGTCATCATCACCACCAAGCACCACACGATCCGGCGACATGACGTCATCAGCTCGATAACTAAATAAGGCCGTTTTAGCAGTTTTCACCCGTGCCATGTTGTTCGTGCTTGTTATAGGTGACGGGCGGTTGTAGGGGGGAATTTTTCGGTTTATTATTCGATTTGAAGCATCGTTAACGAGATATTCACCATTTTATAACCTCCAAGCCAAAAGCTTCGCATCCGAATGTATCATAGCCTCCATGTATCGATACATCATCGTGATAAGGCCCATCGATCTAGATAGTCTCATTCAAATTTCCCGTCAAAAGAGGGCTCTTGGAAATGCTGCGCTCTGATTGGTTGAATTTAAAATGTGGGCGTGGTCAGAACCTCGAAAGGAGGATAAAATGTGAATTTGGACCCCTATATTAAATCTTATGGGATTTTGATTTAGAACGCACATAGCTCTACTACTACCGTGCCACACTGTGCGGCAATGCGCCGCAATACGCGGCAAAGCACGGCACTTCACTGCAACTCTTCTCCCGCGGAAATTTCCAATGTAGAGGGATGATCCACTTACCCTTAACTGTTCACTCCCGCCGAGAAAACCCTCTTCGAAACTAGTCGTCCAAAGTCGAAAAATTTTTCGAGTTGGCGAATCGAAATTTTTCTAAGTCCCGTAGCAAACAACTGACGTCATGCGACTTACAATCACACCACGCCGAAAATCTCTTTATCTCGCTTGCACAGAGACTCTTTGCATCCCACACTGACTCTACTATCGCCAGCGATTATCGTCTATACTAATGATTTAACCACTAAAACTCTAATAACTATCACACTATAATTGTTTATTCACTAACCGCTAACTTAACACTAAGAATAACTGTTAATACAATTGTTTATACACTTTTCTCGACGAAAAACAATACTTCAACCACTAAATTTAACGATCTAAAGCAGAGCGCATCTAAAACGCGTGTTAACGCTGTGGCGACTGAACAGCGAGTTAGGAGTGAAGTAGTTAGGGATACACACACACAACATACCCAAAAACAACATGCGGTACCTGGGCTTAGTCCATATGTGGCAATAAAAAAAGGGTTTACCTAAATTACTAAAGACAGAACACAAATATGTTGGAGAGGTACGGGCTCCAGCTCACTCAATGGAGACGGGGGGGTCACGATGTTAATAAAAGGGCGCCACGAACTTATACCGATACCCACCAACTTAATTTCCCTAGGACTGCTAGCTAAATTCGAAACCAAGTCGAGAGGTTTAAACAAAACACACAAAAAGACAAACTCCTGCAGTTGAGATTTGAAACTATATTGAATAATAAGATAAATTATTAGAAAAGAAATATTGGGTTTCAAGAGTGATGAATGGTGTACAGCTGATCGCCACGTGAATCGACGAGAGGGCGAACTAGTTGAAGATCCAATAAATTGCGCCGAAGCAAAACCACGTTCTTTTAGGTGGCGTCCAAAATGGCGTCTCTAATACGCATCAGAATTATAACAGGATCTCCAAAATTTTACGATTCAACAAAAATCACAGGAATCGATGCCAATAAAGAGGAAAAAGCCTTAAAAGAAACAAAACTAAGAGATCGAGCTCTGAAAATATTAATTAGTACACTATTTTCATTACCTTGAGTTGTTAAACGGCTAAATGTGTATAACAAAGCCAAACCAGGAAAGCCGGAACAAAAATCCGATCACACCAATAACAATTGGTCAAAAAAATGATGTAGAACAAATCCGAATAACTCGACTAGAAGATCTTCAAAATCAAACACTGAGATTCTCCAACAAAACTTCTATCACCACGCGGTTAGCTTTATTATAAATTCGCAACTATACGACACCAATGCTCGATAACAAAAGAGGAAGAGGAAGCGTGGTAGGGAAGAATGTATCCGCATCCCCACCCCTAAAATTAATAGATCTTAAAAAGAGATCGACAAATCTACCAATGAAATTAATGTACCCATCATCACACTTGATCAACGACCCTCAACACTAGAAAAGGTCCGAAATAAAAGAAAACAAAAATAAAACGATGAAAACGAACGTTACGCATTGCCGCTCCAAACACTCTCATTTGTGCATCATTTGTACTTGCCCACTTAGCCTTCCCCCCGAAGGGAGAAGTTAACGTCCCTGCCACGTGGAGGCGGGGCCCCACGCACCAGGAAACCACTACCCTAACAACTCGAACTATACTACAACTAAGACCGACGCAGAACAACATTCAAAAGCTACTCACCTTTCCACCCAAACACACCATGAACATCACACCGTCGCACCAGCCGCAACTCCCGAAGCATCCGGCCCAGCCACGGCACCTCGCCCCAAACACGCCTCCCCCCACTGCCCCCTGCAGGCGCACACCCACCAGCCACGCAGCACCCGGGGTGCCCGAATGCCGCAGCGTAGCCAGCAAGCAGCCCCCCCAGATCGCAGGGTAGGAGAGGACGTCGTCAGGACAGCACCGCCTCCAGACCTTCCGCCCCGATGACCAACCGCCAGTTACCAGGTCCAGTGCCCATCACTTCATCCATCAGCATTCTAGTCACACTTACTCTACAAAATTTATACCTACATGTTTATGCGCATACATATACTTTACGTTTCATGTTTCAGGACCCCGAAAGCAAATCATGGGACATCAGCACTCTCTTCGACGGATAGTAAAAACTTCGTCAATAAACATTTTAAAAATCTCAAATTTGTTTCTATTAGATATTAACCTATCAAGTCTAACACTCATCTAATCATTCATACCTAATCTCCTCAGACACTCCCTCCTTTCATTCACATATTTTTGACACTCACCCATAATGTGGTATACAGACTCAACAGCTCCACACGAGCAAAGGTCGCTTTCCTCCAACCCCAATTTGTCGAGATTCTGCCTTATCGGGCCATGTCCAGTGAGTACGAAGCCCATGTGCNGTTCTGTAGATGTTTTCTTCATCTTTCAAACGAGTTTTGACAAAACTCAAGCTAAGGTTCTCCGGAGAGAGTGTTTCTAACGCTATAAC